TCTCACTTTAGAGATGGGGAAACTGAGACTCAGTGAGACAGTCACCTGTTTAGAGTCATATACAAGGACCAAGATACCCAGGGCCCATCCATTTTGCCTTAGAAGCCAGAGCCCTCCTCTAAGAAAAATAGTGAAGCTGGGCAATGGTGGTGGCACACACCTTTAATCCTAGCACTCTGGAGGAAGAGACAGATGGATCTCTGTGAGTTTGAGGCCAGCTTGAGCTACAGAGTGAGATCCAGGACAGCCAGGGCTACACAGAGAAACCCTGTCTTGAAAAAACAAAACAAAGAAACAAACAAATGAAAAGAAATGGTGAAGCTGAGATTCGGGGAGATGCTCATTCAGCAGAGGAAGGACCCGAGTTCAGGTCCCCAGTGTCCATTCACAATGCTGGGCTCAGGCTGGAGATCTGGCATATCAGTTAAGAGCACTTTTTGCTTTTGCAGAGGTCCTGGGTTTGGTTCCCAGCACTCACATGATGGCATACAAATGTCTGTATCCCTGGTTCCTGGGGATTGGGCTCTCTCCTTTGTTTTTCTCAGCACCAGGAACATACATTGTACACATACACACATGCAAGCAAAAACGCTCATAAAACAAGAATAAATACAGCTTGCAGTATGTGTTTGGGGTGGGGAGGTATGGGAGCAAGAGGACTTGCTGGGATTTGCTGGCTAGCCAGTTGGTGAGTGCCAATTTCAGTGAGGGACCCTGTCACAAAAAGTCAGGTGGAGAGCAGCTGAGGAAGATGTCTGATGTTGGCTTTCACACATTCACTGTAGGCAGGGTGTGTACAAAGCATGCTAAAGAGCAAGCCAGGTGGGGGGATCATGTAGCCCAGGTTGGCTTCAAACTCACTATGTAGAAAAGGATGGCCTCGACACACATTCACTGTAGGCAGGGTGTGTACAAAGCATGCTAAAGAGCAAGCCGGGTGGGGGGAACATGTAGCCCAGATTGGCTTCAAACTCACTATGTAGAAAAGGATGGCCTCGATCTAATCCTCTTGCCTTCCCCTCTATAGAGCTGGGTGTGACAGGGTGCCACCACACCTGTCTTGAAGCTGTGTTTTAATATCCACAAGTTCCTGAGTGTTCAATGCAACTCACCAAACAGCAAGCCTGACCCAAGGTCATGAACGTGACAGTGATGATAATCACAGGCCCCGCCCCACTGCCCACTTCTGTCTTCTGTATGAAGTGGGGCCTGTGTGTGGTAGACCCCCAGGTTATCTGTCCTCTCGGCAGGGAGGCTTCCTTCCTGAAACATTGACAATGACAGTCACTTGAGGTACCAGTTTTCAGTGAGCTCTTGTGACTGTGGCTGTGGACCACCTTTTCCCTCTGCCCCTCTGCCCAGCCTGATCTGAGCCTGAGGTGGTGAGACACTTACCCTATCTGAGGTGCAGAGCCAAGCTTCAAGTGCTGGCCCCAAGAGCTTCCAGTCCTCACTAACCATCCCAGGTCATGGAAGAGATGAGCAGGACTCAGGAGACACAGCCCTCTTCCTGTCACTCCCTCATTTGTGGAGGCTAGGCTCCAGGGTTGACCATCAAAGTTGTAGACAATGGACTCCATTCAACATTCACTAAGAGCCCGGGGTTGCCAAAGGTTCAGGACTACCATCATGGGCCATCTGCTGCTACATAAGTTATACCTGACAATCCCAAATCATAACTGTGAGCTGAGGTGGGGGCTTCTCTCAGGGCTAAGCATGGGAATAGCTACCTCCACTAGCCTCAGTTTCCTTGTCAAGAAAATGGGCACCACAGTCCTCGCCTCCTGGGCTTGTTTGGATAATTTGGCAAAATCATGCCTGAAAAGCTCACGCTCAATGCTTGGCCCCCAGCAGGTGCATCGTAGGGGACAGCTGACATTCCTGGGGCTCAGGCAAGCCAGACATTTGTAGATCTCCCTGAGTTTAGGGTCTCCAAAAGCCACTTGGCCCTCAGCCTAAGTGTGGCTCCCCAGTGTCTGGAGGAGGAGGCTGGGGATGCTACTAGCTAGGGACACTTTTAGGGACACCAATGCCTAGAACACCCCCATGTGTGGGGGCTGGGGAAACTGAGGCACAGTGGGGTCTATCCTCTAGCCCTTCAGGTTGGGGCTAGGAGCACAGATTCACATGTTCTGGCGACTGGCGGGTGTACTGGTGGCAGCATTGACCCAGCAGAAGAGAGGGAGGAGGCCTGGCCTGGTGGCAGCTAGCCCTGGCCTGGCGTGGGAAGGGTCAGGTCTCATTTGTTCTGTGTGGTCTTGAGGGGACTGTGAGGCAGGCCGTTCACCAACATGGAGCCCCCGCTTTAGCCAGCCAGTGGTGCACAAAAGCAGAAGGTGGCAACCCGTGCCCTTCAAGGTGATGGTTTGCAGGGTAGATTAGAGGGCTGGAAGCAAGCCAGTGGCCGGAGAGCCTCAGGCCTTTCCCTCACCATTCTAGTGGAGGCAGGTACCCTCCTCCACTTTAGGAGGGCGAATAGTGGGGTTATATAATGTTTGGGTATAATCGCTTTCCCAGCCGCTGGCATGGGGGTGGCGCAGCCTGGATCTCTTCCTGGAGAAGAGACTGGAAGGTGGGGAGGCTGGAAGGGAGGGGCTCCACTTCTGCTAATAGACAGGGTTACCTTGGGCTGGTATGGCTCCCTCTCTGGGCCCCAGTCACACACACACACACACACACACACACACACACACACACACACACACACACACACACGGCTTGCTAACCTTGTCCACCGAACTCTGTGGTTCTGACTAGGACGTCTAGAAGATCCTGTTCCATGGAGCTCAGAAAAGGGACCTGGACACTTGGGCTCCTGCTCTCAGCCCCACCAGGAGTCTTGTGTCCATTCAGCTCTCCAGGCACACAATTTCTGGGTGTCTGTTAGACACCAGGACATGTACAGGCTGTCAAGCTCAGGCCAGCTGGGATTTGTAGCCAGTGCTGAGTGAGTTGGAGAGGTACCTTTAAGGTTGTCCATCTCGGGTGCTTTGGCTAAGGGTGGAGCAGGACTCTTACCCTAGCCGGGTTAGACAGGTTGACATCCGGGGCCCTGTCATGGTGAGTAGGTGGCAGAGCTTACAGGGCTCAGGGATACTGAGCACCAAGGGGTGGTGGAAGGTTCAGGATGGGGGCTTCTGTGCAGGCTGGCAGTCTGCCTGGGCTTCCAGCATCACCTCATGGGTTGGCTTCTCCAGCCTCCTATTGATGGGGCGGGGCTCAGTGGCACGGCTTCTGCAGGGTTGACTAGAGACTCAGTAGAGACTGGCACTCTGCCACCAGCCCTGCAGCTCATGTCAGTGCCAATGACTCCCGCTGGGGCAGTGTGGGGCGCCACCCCCACCCGGGAGCTGGCCCCCCTGGGCCTCCTGCGGGGCTCTCTGGGCTGGGTTCAGGAGACAGCTTCACTTTTTTTTCTTTGCTTCATCTTTTTTTTTTCACTTTGAGACAGGGTCTCACTGTGTAGCCCTGACTGTCCTGGAACTCTATCTGTAGACCAGGCTGGCCTCGAACTCACAGAGATCCGCCTGCCTCTGTCTCCTGGGATTAAAGGCGAGTACCGCCATAGCTGGCATTTCCATTGTTTTTAAATAATTGTCACGGTCCTTCAGATAGCAGGCAGCAGTGTAGAGAAGTTAGATGGATGGTGGGGATGTGGGAGGGGTCATCTGGGCAGTGGGTGTGTCTCCCTCGGATTCCGGAGTCTGGCTTTGGGGCTGGGGGTCATGAGCCAACCTAAAACCCTTTGCATCTGGCCTGGGAAGGAAGCTCGAGACCCAGTGTCCGGGCCCCTCACAGCCCCACTTTGCTTTATTCTGGGGTGTGGCACGTTACCAGGGGTCACAAGAACCCCAGGGTTGCCAGGGCCAAGCAGACCCTTGAGACTTGCCAGGCCAGAATGCAGGGACCTCTGCGGATCTGGAGAAATTCCATACTGGATTGATGAGGGGACACAAACTGGCAGGCAGAGAGCAACAGACACAGGGCAAGGCACTCTAGGAGCTTAGGTTGTAAGTGACTGTGGACAGGTGGGCTGTCCTCATCTGTAAAATGGGATCATTGCTCTACTTCTCATGACACTGTGACTGCCTCTGAGGGTGGGAGTCGCACACTGTCACAGCAGGGTTCTAGCTCTTGACTCCCAGAATCCTCCACTTTGAGGACAGCTCTGGTTGTCCAGTGTGGAAGGAATGGTCCTTAGAAGAGAGCATGCCCTGCCTGAGGGACAGGGGTGACCTCAGTCACACACATACACCAACTTAGAGCCACACGCAGTGAGCTTCAGTGTGCTGACAGTCACACTAGGGGCTGTTTTACATGCTTTATAGCATTGTCTGATATTGGAGAGAGAATACTGGTGAGTTTTAAATATCAGGCCCCAGGAGCACACACACCATGTCACCCAAGTCTAGCAAGATGTGTGTGACAACCATTGTTCCTTGTACATGAGCACTCTGAGAGGTGAAGCTGTTTGCTTAGGGTTGCACAGCAGGTGAACAGCTGAGTTAGTAGACTGAGGCTTGGCCTCTCCAGCCACACTGTCAGTGGCCGGGTATTGGGAGGTTCCTGTGCTGGGTACAGGGGCAAAGGTGGACATGTCCGGGTGGAGTACACAGGGCCTTCTGGACCCCACACATGGTCCCAGTGGGTGTCTGCTGTACTCCCTGTGAGCAGGGATGGGGTAGGGGCTGTACAGGAGCCAGGTGCCACTCTGTGTGGTGCCGGGAGTGAGGGAGGCTTCCTGGAGGTCATTTGGTTTCTGCGTGGGGAGTGTTGGATTGAGAGGCCAATCGCACTGTGTGCCATGTCCAGGTGAACTTCTGCATTACCTCTGATTTCCTATATTCACGTGATGCTCAGTGATTTGCCCAAGGTCACACAGCCAATGATCACACAGAGGTGTGATCCCATGCCTGTGACATCTGGGTCCATGTTCATCCGACCATGTGACACTGTTACCAGTGTCATGGGGCCCTGTGTCTTGGAACTGGGGTTCATAGCTTTCCTGGGTCTTTGGCAGAGGCTCCTGGTTCTCTGCCACCTGCTATGCTGTCTGCAGGTACAAGGGCTTCATTAAGGACTGCCCCAGCGGGCAGCTGGACGCGGCTGGCTTCCAGAAGATCTATAAACAGTTCTTCCCATTTGGAGACCCCACCAAGTTCGCCACGTTTGTTTTCAACGTCTTCGATGAGAACAAGGTGAGCTCCAGCTTGCTGTGTCTGTCCTAACCCTGAGCTCCTCCAGCTGCTGCAGCCTGCAGCAGGAGGCTCCGCTGCACTCCCAGCTCTCTCTCCTGCACGGCTCCCCACTGGGGACTGACTGTTCATGTGCACATGGGCACAATGGCCCACGGAGGTGTGACACTGACACACGCAGCAGCATAGATCTAGACCAACACATGTGTGCATGTGGCATACCCACCCACACACCTGTTCATTGTATGACTGACACCCTCGGTGCTCCATGTGCACAAATACACAGGCTTGCACATGCGAACACACAGAGAGATGCATAAATGTTTGAAGGCATAGCACACACACATACACACATGTGCACACATGTACACACATGTGAGTTTTCTTATGCATACTGGTTGTAACTGGTATTCACGGTGTGATTGACAGGCCTGACAGCCATCCTTGGGGTTGACATTTCTTTTTGTTGTTGTTTTTTGAGACAGGTGTCTTATTTAGCCCAGGATCTTAGGCTTCTGTTGCTGTGTTAAAACACCATGACCAAAAGCTGCCTGGGGAGGAAGGGTTTGTCTCAGCTTTCAGGTTCCAATTACAGTCCCTAAGGCAAGGCAGGAATCTGGAGTTAGGAGCTGAAGCAGAGGTGATGGAGGAGTGTCATTTACAACTCCAGACCCCTGCCCAAGGCTGGCCCGCCCAGAGCAATCATTAATTAAGAAAATGTCCCATCCTTCCTTCCTTCCTTCCTTTCTTTCGTTGTTGTTTTGAGACAGGGTTTCTCTGCGTAGCCCTGGCTGTCCTGGCACTCACTCTGTAGACCAGGCTGGCCTCGAACTCACTGAGATCCATCAGCCTCTGCCTCCCAAGTGCTGGGACTAAAGGAGTATATCACCACCTCCCTGCCTGAGGCATTTTCTTAATTGAGGCTCCCTCTTCTCAGACAACTCTAGCTTGTATCAAATGACAAAAAGACAAAACAACAGCAAAAAACTAGCCAGGCCACCCAGGCTGACCTTCAATTCTCTGTGTAGCTGATCCTGGTCTTGAACATCTGTCTTCCTGCCATGGTGGCTGTACTTTCAATACCCCCATTTCATATATGAGAAAAATAGAGGCTTACAGTGTGGCTTTTATGCCTGGCTCTTTCCAATGCTTACTGTGTGGCAGTGAGTGTTTCCAGCACTGGCCTTGCTAACCCAACAGCTGGCCTATCCAGGATTGGGGTAGCCAGGCTTGCAGACTGTCCCGAGGCAGCATTTTCCTGACTGCATAGTGTTCCTGGAATCCCTGTGACTCTGCACTGGTGACTCAGGTAGCTTCTGTTGTATGGTCCCAGCTTTCTCCCTAGGTGCTCCAGTCTGGGGGTCCCCTTGTCTGGTATGGGAGGCGGTTCTACCCTCTCTAGATGGATCTCAGTATCCTCTTTTGTAAAACAAATAGGTAGAACTAAGCTGCCTATAGAATGGGCTCTCTCCTGAGCCCCCTCCACTGGCTGGGAACCCATTATGGCTGTGCTGTGTATTGAGCCCAGCAGGCATCAGCTTCTCCCTGTCCCTCTTCCAGCTCTGCCTCCTCCCCTCCCCTCCTCTCTCCCTTCGTTCTTCCCCTGTGGTCCTGTCCATCAGCCACCGGTGTCTTTCATCTGCCACTGCCCTTCATCACCCTATGAGGTCTGGGCTGACCAAAGCCATCCCCTTTGTCTTCCTCAGGATGGGCGGATCGAGTTCTCTGAGTTCATCCAGGCACTGTCAGTGACCTCGAGGGGGACCCTGGATGAGAAGCTGCGGTGTAAGTTGTGTGTCTCCCTCTCCCGCTTTCAGGCTGGAAAGATGTGGCTCCAACCCTTGCCAGGAGGAGGTGCCAGACACCTGCAGTGGTGACCACTGGAGGTCAGGGCATTCCCAGAGGCCTGGGCAGGTGGGCCCAGTGTGGCCAGGCAAGCAGGCCCGGCCATCTGTGCAGGGCCAAAGCAAGAAGAACGCTGCCCTTCCAGGACAGATAAAGGGGAGGAATTGGGTTTTCTGAGGCAGAGTCCACAGCTACGTTGGTGGGACAGGCTGCAGGGTGAGGGGTGGGGGTGGGAACAAGAGTGCGGTTAAAGCAGACGCAGCACTGGGACAGTGGCGCCTGTGGGTGGTGTCACAGATCCCTGCTAGACTCAGCCGTATTGAGGGTCTCTCATTTACTTACTCATTTCACGAACATCAGTTGAGGGCGCCACCTGTGATACCAGATGGGAATTCAGGGTCTAGCCAGGGCTAAGATGGGTGTGTCCTGGCTGTAGTGGCTGTCAGTCTATCACAGTGCCATGGTTCCTAAACTCCCTAATGCCGTATGGGAGGCAGGGAGCAGGAGGTGCCGGCTGCGCCCAGAGGGGGATTGTCATGGCAGAAGGGGGCTCCAGGCCAGAACCTCATGTGAGAGGCTGCAGCAGGAAGTCTGGGAGGCCACTGAGGCAAGGACATGCGTGTCCTGGGTGGCCCTTAGCTGACACATGGTGGTAGCCTGGGGATTTTTCTAGGAGAGGAGGGACAGTTGGGCAGAATGCCCTGGTTGGTGGGTGCTTTTGTTTCCATAGTGGCTTCTGTGTTTAGAAACAGAAGAGGATTTTCGTCAAAGGCACCCCATGCATTGTTTAGTTTCCTCCTTTTGCCCACTGTGGGAGGGGCAGCCTGAAGATGAGAGGCCAGGCACAGGGGAGGCAGAGCCACAGCGTCAGGGATTTGTGAAGGGCTCTACTGCCACGCTGGTCTCATGACCCAGTACGAGGACCTGACTGTCTCCTCCAGCGCTCCCAACTTGTGCCGCTCTGGGGACTGCACTTCCTGACACAGCCTCAGTTCCTGTAGACTAATACCTGCATATTTTAAAAATTATTATTTTTATTGTTTTTGCTGTACTGGAGACTGAACCTGGGACCTTACCCATGCTAGGCAAATGCTCTGCTATTGAGCTACAGCCCCAACCCTTATTTTTCCAAGTTTTCACTACATATCCCAGGCCTGTCTAGAATTCACTATGTAGCCCAGGGTGTTCTTGAACTCATGATCTCTTGCCCCCACCTCCCGAATACTCAGATTAGAGACATGAGCCACTACATCTGACTCCTGAATCTGTTTATTTTGTAACTACGGCCACACTGGTGTGCGAGTGTACCCTCATATAAGTATACACTGGCCTGATGTCTGCAAGGACGGTCTCATCTCAGGCTTTGTATTGGGTCACAGGGAGGGGGTGGGGAGAAGTTGCTGCTGCCCTGGGCCAGGGTGACCCCTACCTGGATGGTTGATCACAGGGGCCTTCAAGCTCTATGACTTGGATAACGATGGCTACATCACCAGAAATGAGATGCTGGACATAGTGGACGCCATTTACCAGATGGTGGTGAGTCTCAGGAGGGTGACGGGGAGACCATCAGAGGGTAGGGGTGGCAGGGAGGCCACTTGTGGATCTACAGGGCCCAGGGGAAACCCAGTGTCACTTCCTGTTTCTGGACAATACAGGGCAATCAAATACAGCTGGTTGAGTAGCCATAGACATCCCTACCTGAGGGTCAGGCAGGGACTAGGTGGGGAGCGGGGTCAGGCGGCTGAGATGGCAGGGCTAGGGAATGGGAGAGAGAATTGCTCCTCACTGCCACCAGCCCAGGATGTCAGGGCAAGGTTTTAGTTTTGCGCTCAAAGGCAAAAGTGCTGGCCCATGCCAGGCATTGGTGGTGCACGCCTTTAATCCCAACACGTGGGAGGCAGAGGCAGGAGGATCTCTGTGAGTTTGAGGCCAGCCTGGTCTCCAGAGCAAGTGCCAGGATAGGCTCCAAAGCTACACAGAGAAATCCTGTCTCGAAAAAAACAAACCAAACAAACAAACAAACAAACAAAAAGTAACTGGCTCAGTGCCCTGGTGCCTGGCAAGGGCTTAGCTTAGCCACAGGCCCAAGGCTGCCACACTGGCCCAGCCTCATGTTGACCAACCTCTGCAGGGGAACACCGTGGAGCTCCCGGAAGAAGAAAACACGCCTGAGAAGAGGGTGGACCGGATCTTTGCCATGATGGACAAGGTGAGGTGGGCACAGGGACCTTGGGCCTGGCCGAGCTTTGCCACCGATGCTTGGAGGACTGGCTCAGGCCAGTCCACCTGGCTTATGGCTGGCAGCCAATCAGACTTTGTGGTGAGTTTCCCAAGAAGGTCCCTTGTAATTAACCAGGGCCCTTGGCCTTTGTTATTCCGTCCTAGACTCCTTTGATGTTCTGCAGAAGCTGGACTTCTCACAATAAGGGCCCCAAATGTGTAAAAATATTACTCTTACAGTGAAAAGGAAACCGATTATTTTGGGTTGTGGCTTCCTAGGCATGGTTTAAAGGGAATCTGTGATGTAGCTTTGGGGTGTGGCTCAGTGGCAGAGGGCTTGCCTATCATGTGCAAGGCCCTGGGTTCTATCCCCAGCACTGCAGTGGGCTTACCCATCTGCCTAAGTCAAAGCTTTGATATGGGCAGCAGCTGTGTGACAAGGTCGTGGATGGGTGCCACTGGTTCTGATGGTCATGCTAGGTTCTGGAAATGAGAAGTGTCTGACCCGCTCTGTGTTACAGACCTACTGGGTTTAGCCACAGACCCCGGGGTGTGGGGAGAAACCACTTTCTCGTTTGTCTGTGTGTCTCTGTCGTATTGTCCACCTCTCCTCTTGCAGAATGCCGACGGGAAGCTGACGCTTCAGGAGTTCCAGGAAGGCTCCAAGGCCGACCCCTCCATCGTGCAGGCGCTGTCCCTCTACGATGGGCTGGTATAGTCCAGGCCCAGAGCTGGGGTGAGTTGGGTGCACCCTGAGGCAGGGGTGGGGTAAAAACCCACCCACAGGTGCTAATTCTTTGGGTTTCCAGGGTGCTTGGGGATCTGCCCATATGGAGCCAGGGGGTAGGGTCTTCAAGTCAGCCATAGCCCTGTGGTGTTTTATTTATTGTTTTTTATCAGCCCAAATCTAGCCTCTGGTTAGCTTGAAAAAAAAGTTTTCCTGGGTTGAAGACACCATAGTCAGTCAGGAACCAGAGGCTAGGAAGACAGGATGCTTTGCCCCCCTCTCCAGCTCAGAGGTTTGAGTTCCATTTTGAAGCTTCCATTAAAAGGGGTGTGTGTGTGTGTGTGTGTGTGTGTGTGTGTGTGTGTGTGTGTTTATACACAAGTGCACATGTGTGTGCATGTATCTGCAGAGGCCAGTAGAAGGCATCAGAGCTACTGGAGCTGGAGGTAGAGGCCTCTGTGAGCCCCTGGATGACTGGGAACTGAACTTGGGTCCTCTGGAAGAGCAGCCAGTGCCTTGAGCCACTGAGTCATCTATTAGCCCATCTATTAATACTACTTTGCACAGAAATGCTTTTGTATTGACAAGGCATTAGAATTGATGTTTACAAAGAAAATGTCACTAAAAATAAATGTAATGAATTAAAAGTTTACTTCCAAAAGGTTCCCATCTGACCTAGACATACCCACAGTGGCCAGAATCATTGTTTTTTTTTTAAAGTTATATTTATTTATTTTTTATTGTGTGTTTGCTCATGCCATGGCACACACATGGAAATCTGGACAGCCTGCTGTGTGCTTCTGCCACCTTCCCTGCTCTGAGCCAAGTGATATGAGTCCCACACTGCTGGGAAGTTGACTCTGACTAAGATTTGCTGACTTTGATGACTAGATTTTAACAGCAAAGCAAGCCAGGTGCCTGTTTCTTTTTCTTTATCACTTTACAAAATGAGTTGGTTTGTGTGTCCTGAGAGTTTCTGTGCAGAAACCACTGGTTGGCATTGGGTGTCTCCCTCTTTTGAGATCCACATTCCCCCTGAACTTGGAGCTTATCCATTGGCTAAACTGGCTGGCCAGCAAGCCCCTGGCATCTACGTGTCTCCAGTTCTCTAGTGCCAAACTTAAGAACATGCTACCAAGCTTAGCTCTTTTACCTGGGTGCTGGGGAATCAAACCCAGATCATGAGTCTTGCTTAACAGCTACTTTAGCAAAAAGGCCATCTCTCAAGCCCTGAATTAATTGTTTTCCTGACATCCTTTAAAGGTAACCAATGACTTTTGAATATCCATCATTATGAACTTCTGGTTCTAAATGTATTTATGAGTTTTAGATGTACAGCTTTTTAGCAGCAGAGGCAATGCTGTGTCCATTTTTCAGGAGTTACATTTCAGTCAGAACTTCCTGGTGAGTGCGCAGTTACAAACTCCATCTCAGCATTTAGAAGGCTGAGGGACAAGGATTAGCCTTGAGCCCAATTTCAGGCCAGCCTGGGCAACAGTATAAGATCGTGTTCCAAAGCAACAACAAACATCGTGTCAGTAAAAGATGGGCAGGGCTTAAGCTGTGAAGAATAACGGTGCAAACCAGGAAGGTTTGCTGACCACAGAGACAGACGGGAAGGGCGGCCGAGACCCCACAAGGGCCTGGCCATTCACTTCCTCCCTTTATTCCCGTGTCCTGGCTGTCCTAGACATTTCCACTGTCTTAGTCAAGGTGACTCTACCTGTGATGAAATACCATAACCAGCTTGGGAAGGAAGGGTTTATTGGCTTACATATCCATATCACTGTTCATCACTAAAGGAGCTCAAACAGGGCAGGAACCTGGAGGCAGGAGCTGATGCAGAGGCCATGGAGGGTGCTGCTTACTGGTTTGCTCCTCGTGGCTTGTCCAGCCTGCTTTCATATGGAACCCAGGACCACCAGCCCAGGAGTGGCACTGCTCACGATGGAACCATCAACACTAATCACAAAAAACAATCTCTAATTATAAAAATGCCCTACAGGCTTGCCTACAGCCTGATCTTAAGAAGACTTTTTCTCAACTGAGGCTCCCTTTTCCTCACTAGCCTGTGCCAAGTTGACATAAAACTAGCCTGGTCTAGGACAGCCAGGGCTACACAGAGAAACCTTGTCTCAAAAACAAACAAACAAACAGAAAAACCAAAACAGACCTGGTCTTAATATAAAAATATAGAACTGATGATGTAGCATATGGGAGTACCCTCCTGGCACACGAGAAACTCTGATTTAATTCCCAGAGGAGTGCACTCGTGTGTGTGTGTGTGCACGCACACACACACACACACACACACACGGACACACACGGACACACACACACACCGACACACAGACACACACACAGGGACACACCCACACAGGGACACACACACACATACACAGAGACACACACACAGACACACACACACATACACAGAGACACACACACACACA